GGAGGAGATTTCCAAGATCGGCTGGTCAAGGAAAGGGAAGTTGTGTTTGCACGGGACTCTCGAGAATACATTGCTTGCATGGTGTTAACACTGGATTTTGATCGACTTTGGAAGATGACGGTGGGTCCGCATGTGGGAAGAAGGACATTCGACAAACAAAACGAGCGGTCGGCTAAATGCTTGTGCGATCGGTTACTTTTAAGGTGGTGACTCCATTCGGAAAGCGTAAGATGGCAAGCAAAGCCGATCGAAAAGATGAAAGTTGTAATAATAAAGGACTCGAGAGTTTGGGGCAAGGAATCGTAGTTTCCAAGTTTGTTTAAGAGTTCCTTTGTAAATCGTAGTCTTTTAGGACTCGTGTTTTCGTCTAGGGTATAAATATTGACCCTCGACCATTGTAATAGGCGTTCACAACCAAATCAATACAACCGCCCCCGTGCCAACTTTCGAGTCCTTTTGTCGTGTCGTCGAGTTCTTGAGAGAGTCATCGATCCGTCGACCTCCGTAAGTTCCGACAACCTTGTTATCATGTTTAGTATCATGCGGTGGATTTAAACGTGATGCAAGTAGTCTTGTTTGTTTTCAATGATCGTCATGCGGCGGATCTTTGCTTGACAATCAAGAAGTCTTCGCTTATACTTTGTTTATGAGTAGATACCGTATGCGGCGACGTTTGCTCAATATGCTTAGTGGAAGCAAGGCGGTTATCGGCTCTATTAGATTACGGCAAAATCTAAATAGATTCATCAAGTTATCCTGTGTTGCATGTTTTAAATATTTTATATATTTGTAACACACTTTTTGCCCAATCTAGATTGATATTGTTCGCCCTCTTCTATGGTTTTATTCGAGCTTCAATGATCATTACTTTCATAATACCTTTGCAAATAGATAACATGCTCGTAATGGCCAAATTATTTTAATCTAGATTGTCACATGTTGTGGGTTCATGTATGTTAATCACGCTTAAGTTTTTGACGAAACTAGGTGTCGTCGGCGCGAGCGGTGAGTTTTAGATTGGCTTAATCATGTTTATCTACACGTTCCTTCTTCATGGACCCCAACTCTACCGGATTGTTTGAGCTTGGATATGCATTAACGCATAATCAATTTCACTTGTTCAAACATGTCTTCCCATGCATATGCATTCGAATCGAGATCTTTACGTATGTCCATCTTACGATTAAGCCAATGATTTATAAACTTGTTGGCGATGCTTCCTATAGCCGTATGTCGTTGTAAAGTTCCCGGGGCGTATATCTGAACTATCTGTCTCACCCGACATGTTCCGGTTTGACATTTAATCTGTTTTATCCCTTGTCGGGCTTTCTTCGAGTCAAAGCCGACCGCGGCGCGCCCGGATTACGAAGCACCCGGGCATCCGATTGAAGCTACGCTTTTTAAACTTCTTTGTGTGTGTGCATCGTCACATTTTGTGTCAACAGAACATTGTGCCAATCTAGACAAAGTGAATATAGAAACCTATTTCCCAATGAGTCCATCCACGGGCACCGCCACCTGTCCTTCGCCGCCGCCGGGTCAGTCTCCCGCCACCACCGATCGGGCCTTGACCACCGGATCCGGCCTCCCGCCATCGGTTTGGCCTCACGGCCACCGGATCCGGCATCCCCTGCAGCTCGTGGGTCTCAGAGCTCCCACGCCAATGGCTCCGCCCTCCACCGGATCTCGCCCTCCTAGGTGGAGCCGCTGGCTGCTGAGGAGCCGTGGGAGAGGGGGACGCCGTGAGGTAGCCCAGATCCGGTGGAGAGGAGGGAAGGGGCGGGTTTGCCCAAGCACCCGGCGTGCCTCCACCGCCAGACGGTAGAAAGGGGAGGAGGGGCCTGGGGCCACACGGCACCAGATCCATTGGAGAGGGAGGAGGGGGCTGGGGTCGCCCAAGACGTACCACCGCACATGCCACGCCAGGGAGGAGAGGGGAGGAGGGGGGCATGCTCGCTCTGGAGGGAGAGGAGTGAGGGAGGAGGGAGAGAGACGGAGGAAGAGGAGGGATGCGCTGCGCGATTGAGGGAGAGGAGATGGGGAGATGGGGCGATTAAGGGATGCGCTGCGCTATTTTTGTTAGGCCGAGATGGATGTGAGTGGCCCGTCCACTATTTAACCGAGTTGAGGGACCTTTAGTCCCGGTCGGAGACAGAAACCGGGACTAAAGGTCCCTTTTTAGTCTCGGACAGAGCCTCCAGCCGAGAGTAGACTTTTACTCCCAGTCGGAGGGACCAACCGGGAGTAAAAGTTAACCTTTAGTCCCGGTTTGTAGCTTCAACCGGGACTAAAGGTCCCCTGCAACAAAAGCCTCCCGCAGTAGCCGTTGGGCAGAGACCTTTAGTCTCGGTTGGAGCTACAAACCGGGACTAAAGGTCTCTCTAGTCCCGGGCGTGAAAAATACCAGGACTAAAGCCAAATTTCAAGGTGGGATCAAAGGTCATTTCTCTACTAGTGTTAGAAACATGTGCGGTGAGACGGTGAGTCTCAGGGCTTGTTCCTCCTCTCTCTCTCTTGGTCTGCCACGTTAAACCATGCATGATGTCTGACATCGACTTAGCTACCCGTTAAGGATGCCCTAATAGCAAATTATTAGTGGTGGTCCATGTCCAAGTTAACCGGCAACGAAACCCTACTCTTCTATGGATTGTCATCTCCTACATTACTTAACTAGATTAAGATGTTCTGGGATCACTAAAAGGTCCCATGGATGTACTCTCATACCTTATTTAGATGTTATCGGATTCACTTGAATCCACGTGTGTTGGAGTGGATTGTGGTAGAATTTAGTTGAAGTCCACCCCAATACACGTGGATTGATACGAATCTGACTACGTCTAACAAGCCCTCAATGTATGTATAGGATTTTTGAGACCACGGTGTACTCCCTCCGGTTCTATAAAATAAGTCGTTTTGGACATCGACACGGTCTTTAAGAAACGACTTTGACTGTAACTTTTTGCTATAAAATATAGTCAATATATACTTTTATGAAACTACATTTCGAGATGAATCTACTTACATCACTTTCATATTTTCAAACTCAACCCAAAAGAAGTTATTTGTAGTCAAAATTTAAAATGTTTGACTTAAGACAACCTCAAAACGACTTGCTTTAGAGAACCGGAGAGAGTACAGAATATAGAGATGTATAGGCTTAAACACACCAAAGCATGACTCTTAAGTCCAGGTCTTCCTTGTTTACTCCAATTTTGGAGCCATCGAACGTTCATGCCGTTCACACCTGCGGAGTACATGGTTGTCACGGAAGATCGCGCAGAAGCATCCTTGTCCATCACAAGCCTTTTGAGACCTGATGAAACGACACCGTACCAGAATTGACAGGACAACATGCATGCATCCAACGCGTGGGGCCCAGCCTGCCCTGCAAGTGAAGCAAAGTGTTGTGGTCCTCTCTTCTCTCTCTGGACAAAAAAAAGAAAAAGAAAAAAAGGTGGCAGACAAGGGGGAATGGGATCCTGTCATACATAAACACAGACTATGACATTTGGCTACCGTCCAGCGTACACATCTTAGGGGTGTTTGATTCATCCTCTTACGTTTTAGTCGTTGTCTCATCGGATATTTAGATACACATAGAGTATTAAATCCAGACTAATTACGAAACTAATTGCACAGTTTACGACTAATTTACGAGACGAATTTTTTAAACCTAATTAGTCTATAATTTGACAATGTGATGCTACAGTAAACATACGATAATAACAAATTAATTAGACTTAATAAATTCGTCTAGTAAATTACTAACGAATTCTATAATTTATTTTTTTATTAATATTCAAATACTCTATACGATACCATCGTATGACATATTCTAAATTTTAGTCACGGATGCCAACACCCATTATTCTCGTCGTACGGCCAATAATTAATAGCCATACCGTCTGCAACTCTGAACGCCTGATTTTCTTGGTTTGGTGAGAAATACTGGCACCCACCCGCGCAGTACTGTACATGGTCCGGGTTTGACGGTCTTTGGGTAAAATCCAGCCCAAACCGCAGGAGATGATATGCCAACGGTTTGTACCCACGGTTTCAACCCGTACCCGGTCACAGGAACTCCGCCCCAATCTCCGCTCCCACGGCAGCACCGCCGTCAACGCCGATCTTGCCGCCGGCAATGGCATGGCTTACGCGCTGCTCGCCAATGATGCCTCCGCCTTCGCCTGCCGTGCGCGGCAATGGTGTTCCCTGCACCACCGCTCGCCACGCCCACCTCGAGGCCGTCCGCGTGCAGTCCGCGGCGGTGCTAACGCAGGACCATCTGATGTGGCCGGCCGTCAAGTAGGATGGTGCTCGGGCTCGGGACGGGGTCCACGGCCGCCTCCGCCGTCATCGAGATTGGTGTGCTACTGGCCGCGGGCAAGCTCGAGAAGATCGTCGGCGTGCCCAGATCCACGCGCACCTTCGAGCAGGTGCAGTAGCTTGGCATCTCGCTGCCCATGCTCAACGACCACCTGCGCATCGACCTCACCATTGACGGTGCCGGCGAGGTCCGATCTTGTCTCAACTCTCAACTGCATCACGAAAGGTCGCTGAGTCTCTGACTAGCACTGAGTTCCATGGGCAACTAGAGATAGAGGACCGACGGAGATGCGTCAGGAAGAAGACGACGAGCTGACGGGTTGAGCGCAAACCAACCCGGACGTGCTTTCTAACGCGGTTTGCGATAGGCTGGTTCGTGGATTGGTCCGGGTTATAACCGGACCATGTACAGGGCTACTGCACTGTAGATCAAGTGGAAAATACAAAGATTTCACTGAAAGGGAAATATAGCCGATGGTATTCTTGACTACTCGTCTAATACTAAGATTTCACACAATGCAAGAAGATCAAATGAAAAGGGGCTACAAAATTAAAACTACAATTTTGATTCTTCTCCATGATTTCAATTCATGCATCTTCACGTATTCACGAATACATCGTCAAATTAAAGCCGATATACGTGGATCGATCGAGACCGAGCACGCACTCGATAATCAATGCCTGATGAAGAGGTTGTACTCGACGGTGGCGTCGCCGGTCTTGAGGTCGAGGGTGTGCGTCCGTGCCTGCGCGTACCCGCGCGCCATCCGGAACACGCCGGTGCCGCCCACGACGGCCATCTCCCGGACGGCGTTGAACACCGCGTTGCGGCCCATGATGGCGACGGTGCTGCCGTTGTACTTGCCGGCCTGGAACACGAAGTTCATGTTCATCATGAGCGACACCTCGTCCTTGCCGGCGCCGATGTAGGTGCCCTGCGCGCGGCCCAGGGGCTTGGAGGACTTGAGGTCGGGGCCCTCGGTGAGCGGGTCGTCGATCACCACCACGGCGCCGAAGCCCGTCTTGGAGGTGTTGGTCACCACCGCGCTCGCCACCGGCACCGCTGTCGGGCTCGGCCCGCTCAACACGTCGTGCCAGTACAGCTTGATGTGCGTGCTCTTCTCGCCGCCGCTGCTGGACGCCGCCGACGCGGCAGGTGCGGTGGTGGCTACCAGGATTGGCAGTAGGAGGAGGAGCACGGCGGCGGCCATGGCGTCCGGTTGAGGCTGAGACGTGTTCTTGGTGCTGTGCTCTGTTGTGGTGTGTGCTGATGGCGTCTGCGGAAGCGATTATTTATGCCTGCGCGAGATGGAGTGGCAGGTGCTAGAGAAGCTTTGGGAAGTTGACAGTTTGTTGTTAAGTGGGTGGGGAGAATTATGTGCTTGGCGTGTTAGGGTGGTTGCTTTCGCTGAAATATTTGGTGAGATGCTGCTGGAGGGTCCGGGAAGATGGGATGCAATGCCGCTGTGGAAGGTTGGTGGATTGGTATCAATAACTATGGAGGGGGTTGGTGGATTAGTTCGATCAACACTTCATTAAACAATTGACTACACTCATGACTAATATAACATTTATGCACGCCACGTCTGAATGGCAAGACCCTATCAAACCTTGGGGATCAAGTATACGTATTACTCGAAAGTATGTCAACGGAAGCTATAGCTAATTAATTTTTTCCACTACCATGTTGTGGAAGATGATCTTCTTGGTATATATCAAATCTTAGGGATCATATGTATGTTGCACTAAAAAATATCTCAATAGAAGCTAATATGTATTTTCCAGTATGGTGTTATGTAAGGGCGATAGAGTTTGGCATCCATTACACAATACCTATTCTAGGTCACTAAATAAAATCGTTGACGTATTGGTGTAGAGAAATGGCATATTGGCGTAGAGAAATGTTTGCTCAAGTAGAATTCAAACAACCAACATCACTAAACTCAAAGCACAACACCATGTGGGATTACATTATAGGTGGAAATAATAAACACTACAATGAGGGTTCTTGAGGGGCCCATGTGTCCACTTAGATCATTCTTCATAGCTTGAGAAATCTTCTGGGAGGATGGAAGGAGGGCAGACGCCATCTCCTGGTGGTGCCTGAGTCAGCAAGAGAATCTCTTCTCCATCAACTGACCCTGTCTCGGAAATTCCATGGGAGGCCACGGTTGGTGGAGGCGCGGGCGGCGTGTCCACAATCTTCCCTTGGATTTCTTCCATGGTTGCAACTGGGATTCCATCTAGTATTAGGCAGTCTCTCCCTTCCAGAATGAGGGTCCTTCTCATGGCCCTAGTGACAAGGTAGATACTCTTCAATTGCTGAGTGTGGCGGTCTTCGGCCTGTTTGAAGGCTTCAACTGTTGTAACCTCACGGCTCTCCGCTTTAGCTGCCTGCGCCTTAGCCTCCGCAAGCTGCACTTGCAGGTTTCTTATTTGGTTCTTGGCCTCCTCTGCCCTACGAATGCACTTCTTCAAATGGGTGGCATGCCTGTCATATTGCTTATCTAGGGAAAGCAGGTAGGTAGACATGAACACTGTAGTTGGGTTACTTTCACGTAATTCAGGGCCTTCGAGGGTCCTCATTCGGGCTACCCACATAGGACTGTCTCTTGTTAAAGGGGGAAGAATCTCATGGGCGTACGACATATTGGCCTCTCATAAATCTGGCATAGATACCTCAAAGCTTTGCGAGCGACAGATTGGTAAGTGTCCTCGAATCGAAACCCTATAGTAGAAACCACCCACGGCCCTATGTTGGGGAAATATTTACTTCCTCCAACATAGATGATGACCTCGCACCGCTCTGTGCCATACTCATATTCTCTACCTACATACTCTGGGTGATCCAAAAGACCTATCCTGGACATGGTGGCATATAGGAGCTTGGGAAAACCATCTTTGTTCAAGCAGTAGCTAGTGGTCCACTCTTCATTTGCCATCTGCAAGGAAAAGGAGGGTAAGTCATTTTTGTAATATATAGGAGAGGGTAAGATTTCATAAAGATGGTCATGGTTTTCTCACCTTGCTAAGGACACTGGCGAAGAGGAAGGCCACCGTAGCCGCTGGATTCCTATAGGAGAGCAGAGAAATGGGGAGAGAGGGATGATACTCGATGGGAAGGAAGTTGAGCTAGGATGTGTTACCTCTTGAGATATGGAAGACCTCTGAGGTACCAAATTTTATAGCTAGAAGGATGGAGTTGTATCCAGCAGTGCAAGAACCTCATTTAATGCGAGCGACTATGGCGTCGACACGGGTGATGTCGTGTAGTGCCAAGGGCGATGGTGAGGTGACATTGTGGCAGTAGTTGTTGGGCACTTCAAGGGCATTCTCCATTATTTCTAGGCACGCGGGTGCCTTTGCGTAGTTCCTATGGATGCATGCCTAAACAATGGTAGGCACACACGACATGAATGATGGTGAGGTAACACTGTGGCAGTAGTTGTTGCCTGGTTAAGGGTCATTCTCCATTATTCACGGGCATGCGCGTGCCTTTGTGCAGGTTGTGTGGGAGCGTGCCAAAACAGTGGTAGGCATAACATGAGCACACAAAGACAACAAAACTAGGCACAATGTTACCTACAATGGAGCATGTCCCTTAAATGTCCAAAGAATGAAATCATCAGAACAGGGCAAAGTAACCTACAATTAGAGATGATAACAAGAGATCTAGCAAGCAAGAGTATGAAAAAAATGGAAAGGAGATTGTCATGACGTCCTCGAACTGATTATAGGCAGAACATGACTTTTGCACAAATACATGAGAGGATGGAAAAGTAAAGAAATATGTGCAGGCACCTGACACTTCAGCTTCTCCTTTGCCGGGTTGCCTCTTCTTTGCTTGTCTAGAGGAAGCTCCTTCCATTCGCCACACCTGTGGACCTGTGGATTTGTCCACATACATATGATACATATTATATTGTACTCATACATCTTTGCATTACGTTACTACATACATGTGCATAATTAAGTTTTTCTGCAAAGTGTATCTATGGTAGTACATAAGTAGTTATAGGAATGCCTGCTAGTGTACATTGTTTAGTTTGCCAGACCTAGGTTACCAACGCTCACAGCACTTACCCCCATCCCCTCTTCTTGCCTGACTACACCATCGACTCTTCATATACATGGGCTGGTCGACCTAGGGTTTAAAGGGCAAGAAGCACTTTCCCCTCTACCACTCCACCCCATCCCCCTCACCTCTGCAGGATCAAACTACATCTCATAGATGTTGTTGATTAAACCGGTGGTAATCATGGGTGCCACTGGCACAGGCAAGACGAAGTTATCAATTAACATATCCAAGGTGATTGGTGGTGAAGTGATAAATGCGGACAAGATGCAAATGTATGCTGGTCTTGACATCACAACTAACAAGATCCGGCCGAATGATCAAGGTGGTATTCCTCATCACTTAATTGGGGTTATTTCATCAATTGCGGATGATGTGTCTGTACCTTCTTTTCGATCTATTGCAACAACTACTGCGGAGTCTATTGCAAGGCGTGGTCGAGTTCCAGTTCTGGTAGGTGGGTCAAACTCACTTATGCATGGATTTCTTGCTGACCACCTTGATCCCTCCCTTGCCAATCCTTTTTCGATAGCAAAGTATAAGCCAAATTTAAGGTTCAAAAGTTGTCTACTTTGGGTCCATACTCATGAGCTGGTTCTTAATGAGTATCTGTGTCGCCGTATTGATGGTATGGTTGCTTCTGGCTTAGTTGAGGAACTAAAAGAGTATTTTGATACTACGCTGGCTCATAAGATTGGTAACCACACTGGGCTAGCTAAGGCAATTGGTGTGCGAGAACTAAGCAAATATTTTGGTGGAGGCATGAGTCTTTCTGATTCCATAGATGAGATGAAAGCAAATACAAAGCCCTTGCAAAATCACATACTACAAAGATTCGCCATATCGCTGGTGTTTGGGGCTGGCCTGTGTGTGTGGTGGACTCTACAGAAGGCATACGCTGCCATCTAAGTGGAGGAGACCATAGTACGGAAGACATATCATGGGAACGCGATGTGAGTTCTCCAGCAATTGCTATTGTGGATAAGTTTTTACATAGCTAACGCCAACGCTGGCTATCCATGTGAGTTCTTGTAAGTAATTAAATAAATCCAATTGAACTATCTTTTAATATATGCGAGTGGTACCATGTTAGTTATAGTATGGGTTATTATTTCCATGACTCGAAAATGTATTGATATTTGATCTGGAAACCTTCCACTTACTACTGCTTGTAGCATGGATGTTAATGGCAATGCTTCATATGGTTATTTGCATATTAGTACCATATACTCCCTTATTCGTTGAAAATTGAAGTACCCAGCTCTATAACACCCTTTCTTCTACCTTGTTGTACCCAACTCTGGAACAACCTAAATTTTGCATTTTCAGGAATATGTTAAATTTGATTTAACTGTGCACTTGAACCTGCAATAATGACAAACTAAAAAAGCAAAATCAAATACAGGTCATAGGAACATGGTGTACCATTCATGATGCTACATATTTATTTTTGTAAGGTTTGTTTTGGGTTTGAAATTAAACTGTTTGTTGCTTGATGGCTTTGAAATATAAGGAAAGAATATTCTTTTATCTCTCCCTCCCTCTATTATCTGTAGATGATTTGTCATCTAAGGCAACACGAGGCAAAGAGAGTGAAATTTTTTTACTTTCATACATGCACGTGTCTTACAAAAATAAGTACATTTTTTTATCAAGGAAACAAGCTTTAACCTTTAGTTTGAAAGCTCGAGTAGTAACTATAGCAGTTCTAGCATTAAGTTTCTATCCTCGTATAAATGCACCAGCTATTCCTTGTCACATGGGATTAGAATGAAAAAGATGATTAGGTCCGGGTCTGATTATTTATATCATTAAATGATACTTTGTGGCTCCCAGCCACCCAGCATGATTCAACTACAATTAGCCAAGGATGTTTGTAGTTTCAAAATTAGTTCCGGCGCATCCTACAGGACAATTTGTAGTGCACAAAGTACCAGTGGCGGAACCAGCAACATTGTTTAAGGAGGGCTGGAGAAATACGATGACACCTATAAGTATGATAAATACATACATGAGTGTATGTTTCACCAATTTTTTCAATGTTTTATATATGTAATTAGTATCGATAACGAAAAATCATGATATTATGATACAAAATGGGTAAAATGATGTCTTAATATGCTATAAATTACAGTA